AAATGATAATAAATTACAAATATCGATACATTTTATAGACTGTGCTGTTTTTAGTAACATCGACTCATCATTATCTGTTGCAGTTCCTTCTAATTCTAAATATTGCACTAAAAATCTAAATCACATCTCATTGCAAAAATTTCTCATGACCTATCTTTACGCAACCACAGTTACAATTGCTTAACATTAATAAGCGTTTTTTAAGTACTGCCATTTCGCTCGTGGTGGGGCGGGCGGTTTGTATTGCATAAAGTTCATTACGGCTTTGCCATTTCACAGACCGAAGATATTATCTAAAGTTTACTAGCCAGTGAATAATATACCATCTATAATATCTGTGCTATTAAAGCACAGAATTTTTAATAATTCGACAGGCATTTATTCACTCAAATAATCTCCTTAAACCAATACTTACTTATACTTACTTACCAATACTTACCAATACATACTTATTGTAAGATTACTGTAAATACGAGTAACAAACAACTGTTTATTTGGATATCAATTCATATCATGAGATGGATATGATTACTTTATTTGCTGTTTTTAGGGATAACAATTTTATTTTTAAAATCGGTCCAGTATTTTCGGAGCCTATTCGATGCAAACAAACAAGCAACCGAATATTTCTTCTTTATAATATTAGTATATGTAATACAGGCAGACATAGTGAATTAACAACAGATCCTTAGATCTGTCATTCAAGAGTTGAACAGAACAGAGAACACAAAATTATATTAATATTAAGCACACACCATACTAGAATTAGAGGATATAACGGATTTCATTTCACTCGTTACAGTTATTAAAATGATAGGTTGCCAGCCAGGCAAAAGGGTCAGCTAAATCCATTGGGGCAGATGTTTAATTAGAATGTGTAAAAAATCCTTTGAATCTAATGTTAGTTGTAAAGAAATAATAGAACAAGTATTTTATTGATATGGGGGTACATTGATTTAGTTAAAAAAATCATAAACATCACACACCCTAAATCTAGCATATATCTTTTTGTGTCCAACGGCTTTACCAAACCGGTCCTCTTAAGTCGCATCAAGAAGCGTGAGTCTGTCTTGCTTGCGTAACGGTACATCGGATTATCTTACAAAAGATAGGATATACGTCCCTAATCAGTGATATATAAATATAATGAAATAATAAGTTTATTCGGCTTTAAATAATAAATATGCGATATCATAGTGATATTCAGTCTGCTATAAATATTTATATAAAAGTGAAACTAAAGCTGGAAACTCAAATTAACTTCAAACTTCTTTTCCTCTTCTCCCATGCGTCGTCATGACGTTACAAGTGTTTATAAAGTATTGAAATATTTTCCTATACTGATTAGACGAAATTAAACTTTTAGAGATCATACATTGGAAATCTTCCATTATTCAGTCATTTAATAAATATTCATGTATGAGTTTCGTGAAGCAATGAAATGTTTGTTATTTCTTATAGTTATCGCTAAGACGCTATGCCCGTTTTCTGTACTAATATTATAAAGAGGAAAGATTTGATTGTTTGTTTGCATCGATTAGGCTCCGAAACTCTTGGACCGATTTTCAAAATAGTTTCATCAGCTAAGGGAAGCTACGCTATACGCTATAATTTACGCGGGCAAAGTAGTGAGAAAACAGCTAGTCTATAATAAAATATTATTTGATTGCATTGGTTTAAGATTGTCAACGTGAAAAGTCATAGTACGCACCCTCATAATTATGCAATATATATTTCAATTAAATAAGATATGCAAATTCTAGCATTTATTGTAAACTAATATAGTTTTGCGCTTCGTTTCATTCTTGGCCGTTTGCCAGCCTTTATCAGAACAGGCCTATATACAATGTTTGTAAATAAATTATAACTCTTTTTCATATTATGACGTCAAAACAGGGTATTATGGGTCATTGCATCAGGTAGATTATTGTATTTTTTTTATTATATTAATGGAATATCTAAAGATTCTGTCAATATAATTTTAAAGAAAAGAGTCAGCCTAAGTTGACGACATACCTTTGATTGGTATACCTCCGAAATTAGACAATGTTTTTTGTCTATTTTTTTAATTACTTAGGTATTTAAACTTTATTGCACAATGACATAAAACAATGGGCGGAGATAATGTCATTAGGTATTCTTTAAATAGTCAACCGGAGATTTATGAAATAGACTTTAATAAGGGTTTAATGATTTTATTAAGATAATCTATTCATTCATACAAGTTAGTGATCGATCCAACATGAAAATATAATGGCGGCAAATGGAACAGTTTACGTTTCAGAGTAAAACTTCTTTGTTAGCCCGTATACTCTTTCGTTCGCTTTTATGTACTTTTTTCTTTTTAGCCCTATTTATCGCGCGTCTCCAGGTCTAGGCATTCTAAACATGTCGTCGTGTTTGCTGGCGTGTCGCCAACCGGCTGAAACATATTCAGTATTTGTGTCAATACACCATCAGTAGGAGACATGACTTACATTTTGAAGGTATCTTTGAGAGCGTCAAGTTCAATTGAAAAAAGAATCAACTCAATACAAAGTCACCTTCGCGGCGTGAGCACAATTCAGTAGAAAACTACAGGGCTTTTCATATGGATTTTCTTTCATTATTGTATGGAGTAATTGATGAGGATTTCGGCGAATTATTAATTTAATAGGTTTTGTATACAATGAATGTATGACTTTGATTGTTGAAGAAAACGAAAAGTCACTTTACACAGGGACTTATACTTGTTAAACATTATTGTGCTCTAGTAAATTTTTCGTATATACTATAGGTACCATACTAAACACCGCACCAATCCACACTGTGCCTGAATGCAGTTTCAACAAATTTGCGATTACAATCTTACCGAATACGGTCGCCAACTCATAGCGTTCGTAAGATGACGATTATTGCAAATCTCTAAAGTTAGGTATATTGTCATTTGTTAGGCACGTACCGAGTGCAACTACCAAATTAGCGATATTCGTTAGTTTTCTAACAATCGAGTTTGACAGCTCGGTCAGTGAACTCTGCGATCGCTACCAATGTCGAGACTCCATGCCCTGTTCTCTCAGGTTATTGGACATTAAGATTGGGTATAAAAACAAAAGTGTATTAAGTCTCCTAAAGTCTCCCACTCCTGTTGAATCGGCGATCAAATGATCCAGAATGAAACAAAACACAACCAACCTCCTTGCATAATTTCACATAACTAAAAAACACTTGGGATAGCGTGAAGACAGTCGACCACTCCTGTCATGCGTGATAGATCGTTGTTGACTTGGTATGGATATGGCTTTCCGAATTCAAATTGTAAAAACAAATTATAGATACTAAAGCCTCATATCAGACCATGTAAAATAAATACTATAAAAATCATATAATTTTTGTATTACACAGAAAACCTGAATGAATATATTCATCAGTCTATTCCATTATTCAACATAATCATTGCCATTTTTAAGGTAAATGTTTCAAAGTTTTTTTACAAGTTCAGTGGCAGATTTTTTGTCCACTGTCATATCTGTTTTCTGCTCTGTAAATGAATCTTTTTTGTGTCTAGAGAAAAATAACTGTCAGTACCACAACACTGGGTCTTAAGAGAGTATAGGAAAGAAATCATTTTTCTGCCTTGACCTAACTGGGAATTAAATAAATTGTCTAATGTCTATTGAGGTGATTCATGATAAATGTTTCCTAGCATAACGTGGAAAGCACTATTTTACTGTATTTAATCAATAATAAATTATGAAGCTAAAATTTATCTATACCTGTTATTGGGAAATAGGTACATATTTACTTTATTTTAGATTTTATTCTTTAACCTACTAAAAGTGAAATATAAAATAGTGCCAAGGCTCTGAACAGCGACAATTTACATACCGATTCCTTATATTACTCATAACGGAATCTGTAAAAGGTCCAAAAGAAAATACATATATGCTGAAAAGATTTAAAGTTGTATTATTTAGTGACAAATTATATAAATCAATGTAATGAATTCATATTGCAATGATTTGTAACCTTATTAAAGTTGTATCAATTGGTAAGACTTTGGATTCACACTATTCATAACAAAGATGAAATAATAATTTTACTCTGACTCTGATTATTAATTATAAACACAAATATTTTTATTACTAAAAACACTAGTGATCTTAAATAAATTTCTAAATAATAAATTCCCTTTACAGCAGCTAAATTAGAATGTTGAATAATTATGTTTGTTATAAATTTGATATCGTGTATCCACAAAAGTATTAAAATAACATGTTATCAATTAAATTATACATATCAACAGAACAGATAAAATAAGCGTGAATTTTTCATATTTACCTACTACCTACTAATATCATTTGTATGATAAATTATTAATTACAATATTCTTGTTTTTAGCTTTAGCAATCTTTAAGCTTTTATGTAACTTCAATAATAATCAAATTAAAATCACTGTAGATTTTGATTACTGTAATCAAGTGGAAAAACTGACCACTAGAAAAGAAACCCATGGCTGAATGAAAAACAGTACGTTTACTCGCGTTTTTTTTCTGGTCGTATTATACGGTGTGACCGCCAGCCCGGTCCATGACATCACCTTTTTATTGAGGTACTTAGATAACACGTTAGGTACTTTTAAAATTGAACTATCCGAGCAACGCCCAAACTGTTCATATGTACATCTACAAAATTAGGATTTAAAAAAATTTTAGGGCTCTTCGGCTTATTTTAGGTAATTGACACAACCACAGCGCATGTAAGACGCGCAGGAAAGAAACTGAATTATAACAAAAGTTTTATTGGGGTCTATTGCCGCAGCAAAGCTGACGCCCTTAATCTCTACTCTCAATGCCCAAACTTACAAAAAATTACTGTGACTAAAAAACCGACCTCATTCGTGTGGACACACCCTCCAAAAAGACATTATGAAAAACCCGTTTTGTTTGCGATAAAACCACCTCCTATTGGAAATGTAAACAAATCTATTATGTAGAAAGCTCATTGCATACGGTACTTACCGGTAGAACACGAGATCAAAATGCTAGATGGTTAAAATATTCAATCACTAATTCACACTTCACTGTAAAGCTACTGGACGCACTAAGCACATAGATGACATAACATCATACAAATTAACACGCACAGAATGTTTCTCGTTATATTCAACGCACTAGCACCGACGACATTACGCACAAACGCGTTTTATTTCTTTATTTCGTTCGTATAAAAAGAATAAAGTCCGCACGCCACCGGAGTAGATCGATGTCGGCACGAGCTTCACTTTTTTGCCGTGGCGTCGCTGTTGTCGTAAATTTCTTAACGTGTGACGCAGACGGCGCTGTATAAATTCTTACCATACCTAAATTTGAAATATCCCCTATTTATACGAAGTGAAATGTCAATTTATTTTAGAAATCACATAATGGTATCTAACAAAAACTTTTGATGTACCTGAGCAGAAGAGTAATTTTCAAAATGCTGCAAAAGACAACCAAACAGAATGATACAACTATCGGACTATCGGATAATCCTAATAAAATATTTTTAATAACGAAATGTATATCGCAATTAAAAAATTATGGCCAACTAGATATGATAAACTTTCTTTAAAACAAGGTTAAGATAATTATGAATAATCTTAATTCAATTAAAAAACTGATGAAAAAGGTAGATTTTTTTTATCTAGCAACACCGAAGCTATTTTTATTCTATGGACTTTTGGCGGGAAGTCAAATAGAGCGCTAACTTTTAACGTTTTTCTGAACGACATTTATTGTAAAAATACATTGAATATCAGAATAGGATCCACCAGTGACGTGGGGGACCCCAGGAGAGGTAAAAAAAGAAACGAAAATCGAATAACTTGATCAGAAGTATAAATATACAAAGAACGATAAATAAGAAAATTACAAAAGATTACTTATCGAGAACAATACAGGAGTACTCTCCGAATTTAAAAAATTGGTATTCTCTAAGTTTGTTCCTAAAGAATTATCTAATGAAGAAATTCATAAAATTTGTGGCGCTGAAGTAATATCAGTCAAACACTTTATGAAAAAAAAAAACAAACGAGCTAATACCTTAATAACAGTAGCAGTAACTTTTGCCACAACTTCTTTATCTCTACATGCGCATACCTATACAATGATTCCAGTATCAGATTCAACAATATATTCCTCCAGTTTTACAGTGATTCAAGTGTCTGAGATACAACCACTCAGCCAAGGTTTGTAGAGGAAACAAGTCTGTTATTCGCGTGCTGAACATCAATCCTATAAAGAATTTGGCCATATCTCAAGATTGTCCAGTGAAGAAACAGAAGATAGATGAGAACATGAAGAAATCTTATGCCACTGTGGTGTATGCGACACGTCCCAATCTATCTATATATATATAACTCAAAGTCGACTGACTGACATAATGATCTATCAACGCATAGTCCAATGCAGGTAGATGTTATGACGTAGGCATCCGCTAAGAAAGGATTTTGATCAATTCTACCCCTAAGGGGATGAAAGTTTTTATGAAACTTTGTCAATTTTAAACCGATAGGGCTGAGACTTTGCATGCATAAAGCTACTATGACTTAAGCCTCTTCTGAGAAAGGATTTTGATCAATTCTACCCCGAAGGGGATAATATAAGGGATGAAAGTCTGTATGAAACTTTGTCAATTTTTAACCGATCGGGCCTCAGCCGGATGCATAAAGCTACTATGACGTAGGCATCTCCTAAGAAAGGATTTTGATAAATTCCATCACTAAAGGGATAAAATAGGGGATTAATCTTTATTTCAGGTATTTTACACGATATAATGAATAAATATTCGTTACAAATGTTACTCAAAGTAACTTTACCACGCAACGATGTCGCGGGCAAAAGCTAGTAATTATATAAACAATTACGCCAGCTTGGCTATTAAAGTCAGACCTTAAGGAATTTGTTAGTAATCAAATTGTAAATAATGAAACGATACTGAATGCTTTGTAAAATCTTTAATGAGGGAGTATTTAAAATAAAAATTAGTTCTTGAAATCAAACTATATGTCACTAGCGATTGTCGGATAATTGTCTATGATATTATATATATATTTTTTTTCTGACGTAATATAGTAAATTAGTATCGAAAATTAATAAATATGATATAGTTTGGAGTTTCTTATAATATCTTACTTTCAAATGAATTTTTATTAATTTGAATCGTAGGTTTAAGTTATTTATTATGTTACGTGTAAAGGAACCATGCTTAGTTCATTTATATGTCAAGATTAGTGATGCCCATCTTATTGGTTGCTCGAAACTTCAATTGACTCAATTTATCCGAATTAAAATTTGGAATCAAGAACAAAAAGCGGAGCGCTGAATCCAGCTTATTTTTTTTTATGTGCCATTATGCATCCACATGTCGAATTATATTAATATAAATACCAAAATCAATTCAGTCTAGGCTGTTAAATAGCACTTGTGAAAGTCGAAAACTTTGCTAATGGTTCGCAAAACTAAGGCGGGAGATCTTGTACTTTTCCCCCTGTTTTATTTCACACAGAGAAGTCTTATTGAAAAGTGATAATTAGACTATAAAGTCACTTTCCATTATAATATCGGAAATCCTACATACTCATTGGCAAATCAATATACAATATTCATAATAAAAACAAATGAACAAAATTAAGTAGTCCAGTGCAGACTCACCCCCACTGGCACCTGTTGACAAGCTTGACACATGAATCAGCCATCGCTTCGCTCATCTATATTTGAGGGAACGTAACGACCCGACGTATACGATATCACCGCAGAGATTTTTAAGAAAGCATGACTACTCTTGGTATTTAATAAGTAATATATTTCAATAAAACTGATTTTTAGTGTAGGTTGAGTACGAAGACAAGCTATTATTGACAATATTATTGTTAGAACCAAAAAAACACATACCCATCGTACGTATTATCATAACACCTGGCTCGACGTCCGCCATCGACATGCAAGTTCAGTAGTGATAATAAGTATAATAACTGTACGTGTCTTTATAATTTTGAAATATAAAGTTTAAACTTTGCTGTTCGTTTCGAACAGACATTTCTTGTTGATTGCTGAATTTAAATTATAGCTTTTATAAAATATTAATTTCGAAAGGAAAACTTATTTGCTCGTTATACTTTGTACAAACGGCATTCTAGCCAGCACTCATATTATTTTGTGCGGATACCTAGGTATATTTGATACATATCGGGTAACTATATAAATATTAAACGGATTTTTTATTATAATTATCGTTTTTATGACCTTAATGACATAAAAATATGATTAAGACTTGATTTAGTTTTGTTGCTATTAGTTAAACAAACAACAAAGCTAATTTACATAGTCATTATTGTTTTCAGAACTTTTGTTAAATATTATAATAAAAACTTTTTCACAGTAATATTATTGTATACTGTAGCTAAATACCACTTTAAATAATTTTACAGCATTAATTAAAAAAACCTTCATTATGTTCACATCTATTATGTTAGTTTCGATTTTCCTTTATACAAATAGAGAATAAATTTATTCAAGGATTATTCGTATTAATCGAGTTGCATTTGCGTAACTCAAACTAATTGAATTTCAAATTAATTTTAATCCAAGTTATCAGATTCATAACAATGACAATTTTATTCTCGTTGATTTAATTTTATGAATGAGGAAGTATTTAAAAAAAAAACGAAAGCACTAAAAAAGCACCTCCACTAGGTGGCGACGCTAGCAAAAAATGAGTTTTTTTATTCCTCATAATCGAATATATGGTTGACATCCCTAGTTCTGGTTCGCAATCACATCATGGCGCTTGTTTAGGTTGTTTCTTGTTATTTTTTTAAGTTATGCAAAATTTTTAAAAACATTGATTCAGATCCAAGGTAAAAATACCACCAGAAACATTGTAAAATCGTAATGTTGTTAATAACTACTTTGTACACGATATTCGCATTACCTTTGTTTCAGGGCACAATGGGTCGATCACCAAGCCCGCGGCGACGCGACGATAGACGAAGAGAAGACAGAAGGGACCGTGATAGAGATCGTGACAGGAGAAGGCAGCGTACCCGGTCTCGTTCCCGGTCTCTAGAGCGAAGACGGCGCTCCCCTGACCGCCGTAGATCACCATCGCCGCGTCGCCGCCGTTCTCGATCTTTATCACCAACTCCTACCACCTCTTTTGTGCCTAAGCCAAAAAAGACGTTCGGAGAGCGTCCCATAGTGACTCCAGCTGATTTGGAGGGAAAAACTCCTGAAGAACAGGAAATGTTAAAGGTTATGGGTTTCTGCGGCTTTGACACCACTAAAGGTAAGAAAGTTGACGATAATGTCGAAGGTGAAGTCCATGTAGTGTTAAAAAGAAAGTACAGACAGTATATGAATAGGAAAGGAGGTTTTAACAGGCCCTTGGATTTTGTTGCATAGCATAAACCATGCAAAACATTTATGCAGACCTGCAAGGTCTTTTGAAACATTTTTGATGTGATATTCTGTAAGGCTCGGGGCAGTGTGCTAGCATGGCTTACTAGGCCACTAAATAAGTTATTAATTTAATCTGCAAAATATGATAACCAATTTATTTTGATAATTTGTAGATTCTAAAATAATTCTTAATGTAAAACTGCATTATATGATATATCAGAAAGTAATAAAATTCACTAACTCTTTAATAGGCAACAATCTTTTTTAATTATAACAATTCATGTTTTGATACAAATTTCATTCTGTAATAAGCTGCACACTGTTTCAGCATACAGTTTTTTTATACATAGTGTTAAGTGTTACTAAGTTTTTGTTTTACATTTTTTCATGTTGAGGGTTAACTGTTGTGTTTATGGTATCATGAAATAACATATGAATTGAAATCTATCCCATAAAAACAACATTCTGAACTGTAAAAGGTCTTCCTCTTTTGTAAATAATTTGTATATTTTAGTGTATTACCTAAAGGAAGATTACATAAGACTATAGATACAACAGTTAAACTCACTTTTTAAGAAGTGCTCAGTTGATAATATGATAAACTTTTACATTCCACTTAACATGGCATAACTATAAAGATTTCAATAGTTTAGTTTATCAAATATTGCATCGCAATCAAAAACTTTTATGTGTTGTTTCTTTAATCTGCTTATAATTCAAATATATAAAACTCGCCTTTTCAGATTAAGGAAATATTGGCTATGTTGTTATATTTTTCTTGTGGCAGTGTTATTTGATTTAAAACATAGGCACAAAATCAATCAACCAAAATTTCCTCCATTAGTCGCCAGCTGCTTTGAGCACCTGATCATATTATACATATTGCAGGCTTAATCATCAAACTTCATACCTTTTGATCTGAATGGACAAAAACAAGTTTTGCATTTGATTATTGGTCAAATCAATAAAGAAAAGACTATAACAAAAGTCTTGTTAATAACTTCGTTATTTCAGATCATGACATAATACAAGTGCTTTAGCTACTTAATTTGTGATCTGAAGAATGATTATTATTTTTTTTTAATATCTATCTAAAGTAAAATGCTTTGGCTAACACATTTTTTTCAACCTGATCAAAAGGAGACATGAAATGAAATATAATAATTGAAACATTATCTATCAATTGAGCACTTTGTAGCCTTTAAGTACGCTGTAAGTCCGTTATCGCAGTACCCGCGCGCTGCATACGCCCGCGCGGGCCCGGTTTGCGCTCCGGCGCCCCAAGAAGCGCCCTGGAGTTTGTTCGGACGGCCTGTGGTCTTGCGCCTTGACTGTTGATTTTATTATATTAATTTGAACTAGTACATATACTTCTCTTGATAAGATTATTCTGGCATCTTTTTTATTCTAGAGTTTATTATGATTCAATTGATTTAAACTTTATAAAATAATATTTTTTACGATTATGTTATAGTTATTACTACCAACTATCATAAATTAAAATAGATTCAAGGTGCAGGACTGTATCTAAGACTGATGTTGTCGTGTTCCGTTCGCGTTCCTCGTTCGACGCGCCTCGACATAGCAATAATGTAGATACAGAGATATTTACTATACACATACTACTTTACACACACACTCCCACCCAACTACAGAACCCCTTATCCTCCACAATTTACAATAGTCAAAGGCTTATGTCAGACTGTACTGTTCACAATTGACTACTCAATTGTAACAAATAATAAAACTGCCTAATTTTTCTCAATGGCAACTCTGAATACAGATTAAAAGGAGAAGGTATCAAATCTAACAGCCAGTTTTTTTCAATTTGTGTTGTTGAGTAGGAATTGACAACAGCAAAGTCTGCCACAAGTCTCCATAGCCCATATACAATTTATACAAATGTTGCTTAGAATGTGATATTTTTTTAAGTGATTATTATATGCACACGCGTCGACGAGGGCACGGCAACTATTATAGCTACAGCCGAGCAGACTCTGAGGTGTTTGTCACAACATCCACATTTTTGAATGAATCTTGAACATAAAAAAAAAATCAAAATCTCACCGAATAACAATAATACTGTTGTAATTTTTATACTATTCACAAAATTATCATAATCTGTTTTAATAAAAATATTCAGTTTTTTTTTTTGAGATAAATATCTGTAATTCCTGATAATGATAAACTTGTAAAATTTAAAAAGCGCTTTTTGTCTTTGTGAGCGCTATTAATTTTATGATTACGAAAGTAATTGGTTCTAATTTAGTTTTTGTCATTAAAATTTTAGACCCAGTTTCACAAACTCCTGCACGGTTGCCGAACAGAAAGAATTTCAGACATCTCTTTCACTTGTTTGAAATATATGGCAATTGTGCTTGCTGAGATGCGTTCTCGATCTTTATCACCAACTTCTACCACCTCTTTTGTGCCTATGCCAAAAAAGACGTTCGGAGAGCGTCCCATAGTGACTCCAGCCGATTTGGAGGGAAAACTCTTGAAGAACAGGAACAGGAGATGCGTCTAGCCAATTTTCTCCAGTAAAGTGAACCTAAAATGTTTATATCAGTAGACAGAGGTCAACATACGATATTCTTCCTGTTTGGCAACTATTATGTCAAGACATATTATATTAACTTTAAAAATAAAAAACATAAATTCTTTTCTTTGTAATTATCTGATGATATATTTAAACTAGTGAAACTGCACTATTTTTTTTTATGTATGTACTTAAGTATATTATATAAAATACAGTGACTTTTTAGACAAATATGATCAATAATAAACACTGATTCATTCCCACTGTATATACCACAATTAATTTATTAATGATTTTGTATTTTCAAAATATATAAAAAAATAAAATTGTATTTCAATGTACAGTCACATTCAATCTAAACCGTTCAAATTCAATGTTATATATTCAGTGTAGCTGTTAATAAGCATAGGCTAGTGCTAGACTAAAAAAATTGCTATTGTATAGAATCAGACTCTAAAAGATTTTTTATAGTTGAGCCCAGTGTAAATCACGCTTAAAAAATGTATACCTATATTCTTCATGTGAATTAAACATTGTTTGGTTTGATTAGTTAGTACAAACCTTGATGACATATTATTAATAGACGCAAGATAATATCAGATTAAGCCAGTAGTTCTGAAACATTTTGGATTTGGATTTTTGCGGATCTTCTACCTAAGCTATGCAGGCTCCAAGGAGCACATTCGTCTCTGTTTAATGACGTTTGTGCGACTTAAACTTGTATCAGTAATGTCGCTTTAATCTAATGATAATTTTAATAGACGTTTGTGCAACTGGCTGCATGATTCACGATTTAATGTGATAATCAATGGCACATTCGATTGCACGTGACTGTACATGTTTCGAATGATCTGTAAAGGTTGATTTTCTTTTAGTTATTAAGACGAATATGAGCATCCTTGGATTTAGGTTTTTCAATACATTTACAATATGAATAAAATTTTAGAAATCCAATAAAAGTTGTACAACTCTGGAGTAACAAATAATTAAAATGTCACTAACTTTACTTCTGACGTCATTCGATGAGCTCTATTATGGAAAATAAAATCAATCGATTCGTTAAGAAAACTGTGACGAAAGATGATTTCTGTTGGTTGATCTATGCACCATATTTTAATACATACAAACATTTATTGTTTGAAGGTACTTATTTTTAGTATTTACTAACCGTTTTTTCTATCATTGTACTACCACTAAATAATGGTCTCGTAATTTTTAATTTGAAAATAACTTGTTAATTTTAGGGTCGTTGTAAATCTCACTGATCATTTTTATTCATGCACTGACCCTTGTGCAAAACAGGAAAACTTAAATTCACATCTTTGTATGGATTGTAAAAAATGTGAAGAGCGTTCTCTGGTCTGCGCCGCTCGCAACTTACGTATGGCACGTAAAAAAAAAATCACATAAAGGCGAAGTCTTATTCACAAAATATTTGAATATTTCCACAATTTTGATATCCGCTATAAATCGTACGATTTTTTTTAAGTCGCTCGTCGAGTGTGCGTTGCGAATTCGGTTAATGCGGACAAGTACGCTCATTTAAAAGATTTTTTTTTATATCTTTCGTACCGAGGATGATGGTGAAAAAATAAAGAAATTTGATTTTTGAACACAGTTTTTGTTTCTTTTATACTTATTTTTACTGTCATAATTTCCACGTTCCTATGCGCATTTTTGTCAGTCCAGCAGCAGCAGAGATTCATATTTTGTTAACGAAATTTGCCTTGTGGCTCAAACCACTAAGTCCAAAGCGTAGTTGACCAACCTGATAATACCAAATTCATTTAAAAATCCCAGACAGTAGCGCGCTGCTGAACTGATGAACACACACACATCATGCCCAGTATCGGTAGACAGCATTAAGAGGTAATGAATTTGGTTATTTAAAAAGCGTGTATATATATTTAATTAATTTTATTCACCATGAAAATAACATTACAATATTATAATAGAGATTCTATTACAATAACAGCCATATCATTGCGTGCTGAACACAAAAATACAAGGAACTCGACATTATACTAATAATTCTGTTTACATCAACTGTTTTTATGCTAAAATATGTATCATTGTTACTCATGAACGTGTTAAGACAACATTTTTGATATTTCGATTTACAAATTTCTCGACCATGTATCTTTTGTTCAAATACATTTATACAGGAACAGGGTTCAAAATAAATTATTTTTATTTTTAGATTATTTTGATTCGAGCGTAATTATTATCTTAAAGTAGCATGGAATAAGTTTTTATCAAACTACGAATTCTCAAAACATAAAAAAGAAACTTAAAAAATAGTGTTGAGTCATGTTATCCTAGTTCTTATAATTCATATTATTAGAACAAGGCTTTTTATATTCATAGTAAAACTGATTAATCTAGAAACAAATACAGTCGAGTCTTAAAGTATATTTAGGTACACTGTTAACAATTTTATTATAGACATTAAATAAAATATCAAAACTTAAAACATAATTTCTGTCGTCACTGCACAACATAGATAAAGTTGCCCTCTGTTGAACTTCGGACATGTTTGACTTTTTTAGGTTGTGTCCGGCTATAAATATCTTTATGTCATACCTGTAAAGCCTTTTTGTTTATTAGCGTAAGGAAATAACAAAACTCAAGTTACTGTATTATTATAGTGTCCAAAATTTAAAGAAGACAGTCCGGTTTTAGGGCAAAATGTCCGTGTAATACAGAGCAGTTAAGTTTTTGTTTTTGAAGATGGCAACCATACATACAAAGCCACAAGAGGGAATGATTAAAGTCTTATTAAAATATTTAAGTTAAAAATGTAACCATTGATTTAAATATCATTAAATGATTATAGACACATTCACGCCATTCAATCCTTGTGAGGTTGGCTAGGACTCAAAGGTGTGACAACACAAAACAGCAGGTTACTTCAAAATGCCAGCTTAACATTAAAAAAAACTGTAAAAATATACTTTTAGGTAAAGAATGAGTTTTCTTCTAAATAACATTGTTAGTATTCTTAATTCAAATAATAATTAACATAAAAAAGTTACACGGCGCCCAAAATAAATCATAATTAAAGAGATCAAATAAGTTAACAAATTAATAATTTTTCCAAATTTTCGTGTGTTCATAAGTTACGAGACAAACTTTTTAATGAATATAAATAAAATAAAATATTACTAGATGTTTTTTTTACCGATTCTGAATTTGGAATGTTAACTTTTAGTTTATTTGTATCGCAAATTAATTTGTTTATATTTTCTCGTGATGGAGGGAACGAAACAATTACGTGCAACTGCCATTTCGCTATTTAAGGCGGGAAAAAAACCGATGCAGATTTTCCGCGAGCTGAACAGTTTGCCTGTAAGCCGTAACTTCGTCTATTACACAATACAGCGGAACAAAGATGCCGTTATCATGGCCGAACACTCCTTTTCCGAAAGAAGCGGAAAAGGAGTGTTCGGCCACGCTCTGTGAGGACGCCTGCGAACATCAAAATCATCCGAGAGCGACTTCACCGAAATCCATATCGCACTCAGAAGAAACGCTCTCTGCATACTGAAATATGATCTTAAGGTAAAGGCCTACAGCCGTAGAAAAGTTCACTTTTTCAACAATCGTATGTCATGTCTGATACATTATTTCACAATAAGGATTGGGTTTTTCAGCAAAACTCGGAGCCATCCCATAAGGTAAAAAGCACCTAAGCTTGGTTGAGGGAGAATGTGCCGACCTTCATCGCGGCTCTCCTCCAGCCCCGACCTCAACCCGCTGGATTATTCTTTATGGACTGAATTAGAGCTCAGGGCCTGCCGAAAGGCCCACCCAAACTTGTAGCCACTGAAGCGAACCCTTGTTCGAGGAGCAAAGCGAATTCCACTAGAAAAGATTCGTGCCGCCATTGATGACTGGCGAAATCGTCTATGGGCCTGTATTAAAAACAAGGGCGGTCATTTTGAATAAAATATATATTTTATTGTTGATTATTATCTATTTAATGGATATTAAAAATTTTAGAAATATAAGTTATTTATTAAAAGTTACGCAACTTTTATTTCGTGTTACTTACGAACACACGACATATGTACGTCGTAGCCATATCTTTTAATACGCCGTATTATTATTAGACGCGTCAGATTTAAAAACTGATTTGTAGAGTTTAGATTTAGTTAAAGTTATTTATAAAATGTAAATTTATGATTCTATTTTGTCTAGTGTGACAAGAGATGTTTTTAACTACAACTTTCAAAGCACTTTCGACAGTGCGTCTGTTCGTATATGGGCGTCACGTTACTAAGCCTCTATGACGAATGCAACGTGCCGTATAGTATTTCGGACAAATTGAAATCTGGCTCAAGTCGCATTATAATATGGTAACAATTTTAAACGGCGTATATAGTATTTGAAATATGCTGCGAAAATAACTAATTAAAATACTGTGAATTTATTATTTATTATTTTTTTTTTCACAGAGAGTAGTTTAAACAAAGATTCTACTATTCATTTATGTAGTAAAAAAATAAGGTTCTTTTGTTTAGTGTTGCAATCACATTAATGGTTAAATGCACGACTTTACTCCCTTACACCGATCAACATTAATTTCACATTTACAAACAATTTTAATTAATATTCCATATATAGAAATATGATGCGATAATTTCATAAATATAACGGCAAAACTTGTGCAGTCAAGAGCACAGGTTAAACAAAACTGTCAAATTACTCCATTTGATTTGAAACCTTAATACATTGAGATTAGAGTTCAAATCCGTTGTGGAAATTTGACATGTTAACCTGATTTGTGGCCTTGTGTACGTTAGCAGCGAATCTATTGCACAAACTACGACTAATTTTAGGTTTATTACTGTCATATAATTTTTTCCATGGCAAATTCATAATAATAAAACTGCATATACCAACTAGTTGTTGATGGATTTTTAAGCTTTTTCATTAAAGATAAGTGATTTATTTATTAATAATAGTGTCCGACCGGAGGTCTCTTTTTGGCTGAAGCCGAAGCCGAAGCCGATTAATCGGAAATCGCTACAACCTTCGGCAGAAGCCCAAGCCGAAGGTTTATAATCTTTCAGTAATTAATTTTGTTCAATATTGTCTTCAAGCTACAATTAAGGACTACAATGAAGGTTTATAATGACTGTCTCATATAGAAGTCGATTTAGAGATACACGTACGAACTTGTCTTGACGCGCATGCAATGATATTTGACAGTGTGACAGTGATATTTTTCAGGTCCGACGGTCCGATTTTTTCCGGCCGATATATCAGGCCATATGTAGGTAATGCTAGCCTGTGCACTATCAGAATTTTTTTTTCTGTCTTCTACGTCTTTGCACGTAGAGTAATAAAGCAAGCAATTACAGACGTTCCAAAAATCTGTATGCTAAGAGCGTAAGTGACGTGTAGCTTCAAAAAGAGCTGCCCTAAACTACGCCGCTACGATCCGGAAAAATACGGACAAGTGCACACGCTACTCATCGGGGTTTATCATGTCATTCGGGACCGGAAAAAATCGGACCGCAGGACCTGAAAATTCAGTGTAGTGCACAAGCGCCCTAACTCCCCGCGGCCTCTGCAAACAGTCTTTTGTAACAGTTCGTTCAATTTCTTCGGCCGGGTTTTGGGCCGAAGCCGAAGGTTTCGCCGAAGATGGTTTTTTTGGCCGAAGGTGGCCGATGCCGAAGCCGAAGTTTCGGTCGGACACTAATTAATAATTATATTTAAATTTACCAGTGACGAATTCTTTAAAAGTCTTTCATAATTATCTGATTTTTCAATCATATTTCTACATATGAAACATATATATTTGACACAATTTTACATACACATAATTCAATATACTTATTTCTTAAAATAAATTATCATTATTAAGCACGAGATATGCTTCATTAGAATTTAGATTAATTTAAATGATATAGATTGGATTTGGAAATAATGTTTTTTTTTAGCAAAAATGAATATTTATGCAAGATGAGAGAAAATTTGTATATTATCAATACTGGCTTTGCTAATATTATAATCTCATATAAGTTTTACATATATTATTACAAATAACTAACATCGCGCAACATGGTTAAATTCCCGGGGTTCGATTCTCTATATTGTCAATGTGGAAAACAGTACTTATCTATATTGTCTTGCGTCTGGGTGATTATGGTCGTAATATTAAGTGATAAGAACAACGTGTGTGAATCATAAACACATATTACTTATGGCATAGCTAATTTGTCATGATATTACTATGATTTTAATTTTTTTACACTTGTTTTAGACTTTCCTTTAACACTAGATTTGCCTAGAACTTTCTGGAATACTTTAGAAATTATAAGTTCCTTCTAGGCTTACTTAGAAACTTCTAGTCTTATCCAGAACCTTCTAGGCTTACCTAAAACCTTCTAAACTTTCCTAAAATCCTTCTAGCCTCTCATAGAACATTCTAGAATGGTGCAGCCTCGTCGAGTGTGTGGAGCCAGTTGAATATCATCATGTTTCTCTCGTATTTCGATAGGGGGCGTCCTCGTTCGCGCTCTAGATCAGCAGCGGTTAGAGCCAAATGCGCCGCTTCTGTGAAATTGATATGAATTACATATTTATAGCAACGTATCCAACCTTGGAAAACTAACCAACAAAGCGTATGGCATACATAATTAGTGTGAATATTGGTCCCGTAGGACTGTATTTTTTTTTTATTATATAGACATCTTGCTTTTTTATTAACTGAAATCCATATAAGAATAAGAATAAGTATTGCCGTAAAATTGGCATAATCGAAGTATACTACTAGTGGACACTAAAATACCAATTAATGCATTTATAAATCAACCAACTAATTATTAAATCATCATCAGCCCTTCTTCGTCCCAACTGCAGGGGCTCCATCCTTCCTTATGGATGGTTAAGAAAGATGGACCATGATCCTCCACGCGGGCCCAATGCGGTCTGGAGGGTATTGACGACTGCAAATGTAGCTGGGACCAACAGCTTAACGTGCCTTCCGAAGCACATAAAATCTCGAGATAATATTTTTTTTGGTCACCCATCCCGTGACCGATCCGTATCAAAGTTGCTTCACAACAACGAACACGACGCAGTGCGCATATCTACAACGCCACCGAGCTACTCTCTTACTATTTATTAAGCAATACATATACAGTGGTGGCCATATAATTAAAAACACTCCCTTGAAAATAGTACATTTACTTTAAAAAATATATATAGCTTGTAGCATGTATTATTTTTTTATTATTGTGATACTTCAAAATCTTTCTTCATTGTTGGTACTTTCTTCTATGAGTTAGATTTAATAAACTAAGAATAAAAAAAAGTTTATATTACGCAAACGTAAAATTTAATCTAAGAATTACTTCTTGCTGGCTGGTCATATAATTAAGAAAGCAAATTATTTCTTTTTTTATTGAAAATGTAACAAAGAACACTCTAAGGTGACTTTAAAACATGGTTGGGCATCCTGAAAATTTGGGGTTGCTTCTCTGGTCATGGAATTGGGCCTATTAGGCTTATAGAAGGAAACATGGATCAAGTTCAATACAAAAATATATTGGAAGAAACAATGCTACCCTATTCTGAAGATGTTCTACCAATTATTTGGAAATTTCAGCATGATAATGATCAAAAACATACAGCCCGCTCGGTAAAGGAATTTCACAGTTAACCCGTTTCCAGCTTAGACTGGCCAGCTAACAGACCTGATTTAAACCCATTAGAACATCTTTGGTGTTAAGTTAAAATAGGTAGCCAATCGACTGTGTGCTAATTTATGGGAATTATACGACATTTTCTCGGAACAATAGAAGTCTATTTGTCATACAAAATGTCAAAAATTAATAGAGTCAATGCCTCGTCGGTGTAAAGCAGTTATTAAGAGTGGTGGACATGCGACCAGCGTGTCAAACCAGAACGACCAAGACCAGCATGTGGCAAATATTGATTTTAGTTAAAAATATGTTTAATTTATTTTTTAATGAACATTTTTTTATATTATAATAATACAAATTATTCTGTATTTTATTTAAAACATTTTACCAACAGTTTAAGGGCATCGTTTCTAATTATTTGTCCAGCTACATTATCATATACTGTCCACAATAAATAGTTTTCAAAAAAAAAAAAGTTACTTATTTAGTGTGTCTTAACTAATTGGCTCTCTGTATACGTGTCCAATTTAATCTATAAGAGCTAAAATTTTTGTTGATTATAAAAAACAAAATATAATATTTTTCTTTTTACATGGTTTTAATATTTACATGGCCGCAGTTTGAAGAGGTTTATTTACTTGAGTGTGACGTCATACGCGGCGTAATAGCGGCACATGACAAAAACAGCGTTTTTCGCGCGGTTTCGGAAATTTAAACTTTAACTTTGATGTTTATTTCATAAATACAGTAAATTTCCCCAACTTATTAGTGAAATGTACTTAATAAGTAATAAAGACTTATTAAAAACGATTTATCAAAATTACTCAAATACCCTATTGAATACTACTTGTGTCTGTCAGTTTATTATACTCACCGGGATGGACTAGTTGCGTTCGTCGCGTGGGCACAGTTAAGGTGGCACCTGAAGCTCCAGTTGTGGCGGACACGGCAGCCGCCTAATTAAATTTTGTATTTTCCATTAAAAAAACGCTTAATTTGGATTAAATTACAAATAATTAGACAACATCAACAGATTTCAGACAACGAGGGTCAAGATGACCACCAAGGCCTCTCAGATGGCGACAACTTGATATCGGAAAATTTAGCTCCGATGTTTGTGTCACTAAATATCCCAAATAGTGACAAAAATAATAATTATATTTAATACTTGCAAGCATATTATTTTATTGATAGACACACAGCGACATAACAACATAAGACTAATACAGCAACGAGATGCCTTCAATTAATAAGAATTATGTACGAATTGGGAATGAAACGTCACTATTTGGAGTAGGTAAAAAAGGGAGCAATAATTATTTTTAAGCGAAATATTACCTCTAGCCTATCTAAATTGAAGTCTGACTGCGACATCCGCTCCAAAGCTCTATACGTCGTCAGAAGACGTCGCTTTATATAACTCTGACGGACCTGCAAAGAAGCAAAATATCACTTGTGATTTATATTCATCATCAACACCAGCCTATAAATATTTATAGGCTGTCCTCACTATCAACCTTCCTTACGGACGGAACAAAATCGAATAGGAAGAACGGAAAGTGACCAGTGCGGATTGGCGAGTTGTTAATTAGTGCAGCTTCAGTCGGGAGCAACGGCTTCACGTGCCTTTCGAATCATAAGGTAGCTCGAGATGATACATTTTTCGTCATCCATCCCATGACCTTAAGAAGGTTGATTAACCGTATCGTAGACACTTCGCCATCGAGATATATATATATATATATATATATATTAGTGATATATCATTTTCATTGTGACTGTGTTTATGTAACACACACGTCACGCATAGAAGTTTAGATTCATTACTCAGTAAATATGTCACTCGTTATTTCAAATAGTGACAGATTTTCAACCTATAGTCTATATATAGTACTAATACTACAAATAAAGTAAAATCCATTCCCTCAGTAGACTTTTAATGAACATATCAAATTATTTAAAATCTAGCTTTCCGCCAGCGGCTTCCCCGCGTGGTTCCTAGGGAACTGTTTATTTGGATATCGATTCCTATCACGACACAAATAATAATAAACAATGGTTCCTATGGTAACGTTTTAATTCCCTATACAAACTTCCACTGCCATTTTCATCCCTTTATTTGCTGTTTTTCTGGATAAATTATAATTTATGTTTACCGCATCCGATGTAGCAGGGTTCGCAAAATATCTGATATTTAATATTTATCCGATATATAATATGCATATGAAAAGTTACGTTTTTTAAGTTGCTAGTGGCTTTATTTAATAATGGACCTTTTAAATCGAAATGTAAGGTGTAAAATAAGGATCAAGTTTGTGTTATTTAACTTTTTTTTATTAATTATAAAATAATTAAAAAGTAATATGCGTGCGAGGATATCCAGTAACATATAGAGGAATATCCGATTTATTACCTACCTACTATAATAAACCTTATGACGTAAACATAAGCTTTATATTTAAAAACAAAAGATTCATACTTCGCCTGCATATTACGGGGAAAATCCAAAATTCCTTTTAGATTAGTTGCTATAATCTACAAAATATTTTAATGAACTATACGACAAAAACTTATCCAAAGCGAAATTACTTTTCCGTGTTCATCGCGTTCAAATAATCAAACAGACACAATGTGAAATCTTTGTTTGATAATATGTGACATTGACACTAGATAATACCTTTTTGTTGTCAGTTGGTAGTGGTCTATGCGTTGGTTGTACTGGATTCGCTCGTTGCGGTGATGGCAACTGAGAACCACCCACTGTAGACAAAAAGTTGTCTGTGGTTCATAAATAAATAAAAATAAAAAAAGCGATTTCTTAAATTCCAATTACTTGATCGACTACGATGGATGTCGCTGTAGGATTCGAGTTTTTAAAACTCAATTTTTATTTTAACTACTGATCGGTCAGTGCTCCAAATTCGACCATAATAAATTTCAATTAAAAATTATTTCTGGACTCGATTCTTTATTACTGAAATCACAGTAAACATCACAAACCTAAAAATAGATGTCTATGGTAAACATATAAAACTTGACACTGGCTAAATGCACAAACCGGGCGAAGCCAATATTCAAAAGAAACAAACAAACTCTATGTCCCTAATAGATATGTATTTATAAGTATTATTATTGAAAAATATTAAGGGCCGTCCATTAAACAAGTGATGTTTTTTTCAACATTTTTTAACTCCCCCTCTCCTTGGTGATACACCGATAGGTTTGAGACTACCCCTCCCTCCTTAAACCAAATCACGTGCATTAAAAAAAAATCTTAATTATGACGTCGCTTTCGGTCTAATAAAAATTCGGTTTAATAATCGCGCGTCGAGGAAAAAATTAATACACGTGATATATTACTATACCCGCCCCCCCTTGTGATATTTCGTGATTTTTACGAATCCCTCCCCCCTTTCGAGCCTCACGTGATTAATGGACGGCCTCTAGCCGTTTGCACTTCTCCTACATATAAACTATAAGTGTGCCTAATTTCAACTCCTCTGTCTTCGCAATTTTCATAAAAAGGGGTTCAAAGTTTTTGCTTCACGTATTAATATATAGATAATTTTGCGGTTGTTTGCGGAGTATTTTGTATATCGTTATAAAGTACACCATATTATTTTAGTGAGTTGTATCATGTGGAGCAATAGTTTATAGTGTTTTAAAGCTTTGACTTTGTAACAGGGTATAGGGATGACGACTATTTTTTTGCTGTTTGTCCATCAGATAGATTATTGAAAAATTTTAAACACGTATATTTTTGTTTTTTTTTTTTTTGCGTAATCAATAAATTACGGCTATTCAGTTGAATTGTCGCGTGACGTCACGCTTTTGTACATTTTTTACAAAACTGTGACGTTGCGAGCCCCCACTCCTCAACTTTAATGCATGTTAAAGCCATTTCTTGTTAAATTGAAGCAATAAAAATATATGTATCTAGTATTTTTCTATTATCTGACTGATGGACTAACTAGGATTTATTTTTTTAATCAGGCATTATCAGTATTTACTAGCTATTTCAAGCGACTTCGGCTGCGTAAATTGTAACCTATGTCATTTGCGTATGATGTGACCTACCATAGTTGGAGGAGTTATTAAAATCGATCTAGAAGTTTCGGAGCCTATATAGAAGCAATCAAATCTTTCCTCTTATGATATTGTTATAGATATGAGTTTTCTTACCGGCCACCCAAGTGCTGCAAGATCTAGAAGCAGCGCTGAGTGTTAGCGCTTCAAGCGCTGCACACAAACCTACCTCCGATGTAGCGCTAAAAATAATAATAGACATGAAATTAAAAATCTGTTCAATTTATATACATTCGAAACAAATCGAGATAAAAATAAATGAGCATTAAATATAATAATTACGCGTTAAAGTTTATGGACTTTCAATGTAAAGTTCATGTCACAAATAGTGACTATACATATTTTGCCAAATAGTGACATCATGTATGCATATCAAATCGTTTAGGCACAAAAACGGCAAATAATGTTATTTAAAAATACCTGTTACATGGTATCAAATTAAATACTTATTTAAATAAAGAACCGGGAAAAAAATATTATTTTCAGCTCTGCCATGCTAATGAAGGCGTGATAAACCTCTGGTCTCGATTCGATCTGTAGTCATTAACACTCACTAATCTGCAAACGAATTATCAATGAAACTAATGTCATTTAAGAAGTTTTAAAGAATAATCTGAAATAATTCATATGATGTGTTATCGAAAGCAACAAATCTATACCTATCTGAATCCATATTTTGAAATTTATAACTGTAATAACTAAGTAGATCGTTGACATCGTGGATAAGCGCCACAGTCCGCGATCGTTGTTGTTAAGCGTTGTTGTTGTTGTTTTTGTTGTTGTTAAGCGTTGTTATTATTGTTAAGCAAGAGTCAATCACACGATGGGTGACCAAAATTTTATAATCTCGAGCTACTCCGTGCTTCGGAAGGCACGTTAAACCGGTGGCCCAGTTGAATTTGCAGTTGTTAATACCCTCCAACTCGTATTGGGCCGGCGTGAATGGTCATAGCCCACCCTCCTTAACTATCCAGAAGGTTAGCCTGAGCCCCTGCAGTGGGGAAGTAAAGGGGTTGATGATAGTGATGAATAATTGTGATGAAGACCATACCTCCTCAACGGTTGATGAATATGGTGTGTATTCACATCGCCAGCGCTGAATGAGCGTCGGAGCCCGAGCTGGGCGCAGAGGGCGGCGCACCCGGCCAACAACTCCCTACAGTGGTCCGGACATTGCAACGGCAACGCTACCGACGGCCTTCTGATAACAGGAGATAAGTGTATTTTTCTGTTGCCAGATTACTGTAAAAATTTCACCCAATAATACAAAATGACAATATATTTTGATGTAAGAAAGAAGAGAATCCTTCATATCCATATACATATATTATCTAAGAAATTGCCGTTTTTCATGAAATAAATGAAGCGTATTTTTTTTTCAAAGTAAACCCATGCAATCAGTGCATCTTTGCCAACGCATCGGTAGCTTATTGATACCTTTCTTGAAGAAATCAGCTGGACGGGAAGCAACAAATTCTTCAAAGGCATTTTGTTCAGCCTCTCGGGTATTTAATTTTTTTCCCGCCAAGAAGTTATCCAAATTCTGGAAAAAGTAGAAGTCTGTAGGTGCAAGGTCTGGTGAGTAACTTCCGATCCTAGCTCTTATAACTTGAAGACCGTCGGCTGTGCAGTATGAGGTTGCGCGTTGTCGCGCTGGACCAGTGGAGCCGAACGATTGAACAAATCGGGTTAGAGACGTGCGTGCTTCTCCATCATTATGTTCACTTCTTCACTGTACACATCTGCAGTAATGCTCGTCCAGCGTTAGACCACCAAACAGTGACCATCACTTTTCTAGGGATAAGTTTGCGTTAAGGGCATTGTTTGGGTGCCAACCAACTTATTTATTTATATAGTACTGCCACATAACACATATTAATACATTTAATTATAACTTATTCTAAAGTCTGATATATGTCACAGTTAAGGCGCACATAGCATTCGCAGTCAATTAATTTGAAGTCGGGTGAGTTTGTGATATAAATTATTAATTAAAAAATGCATTAAAGTTATTTAAAATATTATAAAAAATATTAACTAAATAAATTTGATAAGCATAAACAAAAATAAAATCAATACTAAAAAAGAAAAAATTCAATCGAGTGGTCAATTATCATTCATCATTTTTATTATCGTTCTCAAAGAAAGGGAGAATTTTCGATTTGACTTTATTCAAACTGTCACTATTGCCATTGCTCAATATATTATTCGATAAATAATTGTAGTCGTTACACACTCGTGCCATGGGAGACTGTTTACCCAAATTGGTTCTAGCGAAGCGCGTTACAAATGTTTTGACAACGCAGTGTCTTGGATAGCTAAAGGCACTGAAAGCGACATGCGTGACATAAGTTCGCCGCATTGTTTTCTTCCGCCAACAATTTTGTAAGCAAAACACATATCCAATACACGTCTGCGATTACGAAGACTGGTAAGCTTGAATTTAGTTAGCCGTTGTACGTATGGTCGTCTATGAGAGAAGCCACTAGTGCAGAAAGCAAGGTGTCTAGTGGAAGCCCGTTGTATGGCCTCAATTCTCTGTAATATGGACTCCAAACAGAAGAAGCATATTCCAGATGACTCCGAACCAAAGCACCATACAGATGAATTTTGGTACCGATACTAGTAAACTGTTTAGTATTACGTTTGATAAATCCTAGCATTTTACTGGCTTTTGTTACTATTGAATCTACATACAAATAAAACTTCAGTCCACCGTCTATGACAACACCAAGATCACGAACAGCGTTCACTCGATTGAGCTTTACGCCGCCCAGCTCCTAACTTGTCACAAAAGATTTTCTATTCCTGGAATATTTAATATGATAACATTTGTCAATACTAAAAGCCATACAGTTCACCACAGGGGTCAAAAACCGGTATATTTTTCGAAACGTTTTCATCTTAAATACCTAAAAAACACTTTGTTTCGGTTTCGTTCGAACAGAACGATGTAAAAAACGATTTTGGAAAAAAACAGAATTATATTGTTTTCGGTTAATAAAACGTTTTTAACCATTTATTTTGCGTTTTTTTTTGCATCGCATACTGTAAATAACGTAATAAAATAAATGTACGCCGCCTTTACAGCCCGCGCGGCACCGTCTTGCGGATTAAACCAGTTTTTTAAAGCGTTCTCATTTCGTTTTCGTTTCGAACGCAATCTTGCCCAAAGAACCATAAGAAACGTTTCAAAAACGTTATTTTGAATAACGTTTCCGAGCCCTGGTTCACCACACACCATTCATATATACTGTCAAGGTCATCCTGAACATATTTCCTATCGAGAGGAGACCTCACCGTTCTATATTATTTTAAGCAAAAAATGAAACTTTGCAATTCCGTACGCAGGCAGCTATGTCATTGATAATTATTTGAAAAAGTAATGGGCCAAAATGTGAACCTTGGGGCACAAGGCACATTTCGCACAAGGCGATCATTGAATTCATGGGGTACCCAAGATTATTTACCTTGCTGATTTGACGCAAATGGATCAATATTGTTTTGATGCTAACGTCGAAAGCAACAGCTTCCACAATGGCCTTTAATTCGTCACTGTCGACCAAAGTTTTCGGACGACCACGAGGTTCATTTTTCAAGTCAAAATGTCCAGAACGGATGCGGGCAAACCAATAAAGGTGGTGCGTTCGTTTGTAGTGTTTGCTCCGTAAACGTCGTTGATCTTGCGTGCCGCTTGTGCCGCTATGCTGCCATGGCGGTACTCATACCCGATAATTACTCGAATTTTTAACTTAACCATGACGACGAAAAATGTTCGAATGCGTTGAAAACAAAACACTAACTATTAAACAAGTGACGGTTCTTGAAAAAATAATTCCATGATTTAAAATAAAATTAATTCGAAATTAGAATTATCAGCAAAAAAAGTATTTTGATTTGAAATGGCTAGTACGGCAGAAGGGCAATTTCATAGGTAAACCTATTAAAAAAATACGCATCTAATGTTTTCTAAATATCTAACTGACGGACTAATTAGGATTTAAATTTTTTCACCCAGGCATCCTTATTGTCAAATACTAGCTGTTCTCCCGCGACTTTGCCCGTATTTATTGGTTACTTGACTGTTTTGGGAAAAAGTATTTAAATCTTTCATGTGATCATATTAAACAACTATCATGTTTGTTTTTCGACATTTTGCTCATAACAAAAACGTTTACGTTTAATTTATTGAAATGTGACGTCTAACGATGCTCCGTTATGGCGGCCAGTGTTTCGGTTCATGTAATCCACCGATTCAAATGACAAAATAAATTACCAAAAAAAGAAAAAATAACATACAATTAATTTAAAAACAAAAACATCACATAATTATCGTTTACATACATATTGTTTACATGTTACATACTTTTTCTAACATATTTATAGTTGTAGCTTCCTTTAGGTGAGAGTTTTTAAAAACAATCTAGTAGTTTAAAAATCTATGCAATGCAAGAAAACAAGTAAATACATCGTTTATCTTTATAATATTAGTATAAATACCTATATACTCAAAATAGCATACCACATTTGCTAATATTAAGTAATTATTTTAATTAAGTAATTTTTTAATATCAGCATCTGCTAATATATGAAAAATCCACATCAGCAGCAACTCAATGTGGAATTCTTGCATGTGGGATCATACCCAATTAAAAAATGCAGAGAATACTTAGGTGCCATCCATTTACTACCTAAGACTACCTCGATGGAGTGGAGGCCATTTCATATCTTATTTTTTTATAATAGGGAATGAGAGATTCTTTATAATAACCTTTTAATGGCAACATTATAAAAAAGTGAAGACTGTACTTTGAAATAGTGAAGTTTTTATCTTCTGCTGTACCTATCCAAAAAAAATAACAATATTACTATTATATAGACTATTTTATCCAATCAAAAGTTATATATTTATTATTAATAAAAAACTTAATATATTATATTTACTTGAAACACTTGCTATCTGGGTTAGGACTGGCCACTCTGAGGTTGGGATCAGGACCTTGTCCTGCCTGGAACAAGAAGCAATTCCTGTTAGAACTATTTTCTTACTTACCATCAAATCCTCAATAGGGGTGAAGATGACTTTTTAAAAATACTTTTATTTTGAAGATATAGCATGTAATGTATCTAAAAAAAAGTAATATAGTAATTCATATAATTAGTTAAAATCTAAAATAAATTTTATTATAATAAAGTATCAAGTGCTTGAGAAATTCGTCAGCCCTATTAAGTCCTGGGTAGCTCAGTGGTTAGAGCAATTGTCTGAATTGTGAAAGATCATGGGTTCAACACCCATCTCAGAGTGCCAGGGACAGAGAGTATTTTTCAGTACAGCATTGTGAATGCAAAATTCATCAAATATAATAAATTTAATTTTCCAAATTTCCTACCAAAATGCCATCTTGTGTTATGGCATCACTAAGACGTCACACCCCTCTTATATCTCTATCCAATATTGTTTACTGTATGCAAAAGATTTAATTCTCAAAGTTCTAAAATACGAAGGAAATGCATAACATCACACGCTGTCTGCTGTCACATGACAATGAGTATGAAATAATTGTTTTTCCTGACATGCAAACCACTCAGCTATGGAGCTTGTGGTTGTTATCGCAGGGAAAGTAGGGAACACTAAAAACTTCTTTGCAATATTTACCTTGCATGCCAAAAGTCTGAGTATCCTGGCATCTGAAGCGGCAGAGGATACGCTGAAGAGTGATAGGTCTGTGGTGACAGATTCATGGGAGGGAGAGCGAGCCACCCCGCCACCACGCCATCCCTCTCCTCCACACATCTCCACTGAATATAACAAAAGAATATACTTTCACTTTTATTGAGTTGACTCTATTTCTTTTAACTTCTATTGAGTTGACTTCTATTAAGAAGTGATATTTATTCCCACTTCCTCTCCACCTCTCGTAATTTTTAGTCCAGTCAACAGCATGTCCAGATGTACAAAACTGCTACAATAGCTCACTAAAATGACTCAATAGTGTTTAAGTTTACCAAGTCTTCTAAAAATTATAATAATAATATTTATTCATCTCAGATACCTTTATGATTAATACAATTTTAAATCCAAAGTAATGGGAAATGAGACAAAACAATTTATCACACTGTTATTCTGTCATAATCATTAAACAATAAAAATATTTTTTTTATAAAATAGACTATAACAAAGATATTAAAATTATCTTACTTTTTGTCCATATTTATTTCAAAATTCTTATGCAATACTGTTTGGTAGTAATTAATCATGTAATACATAAAATTTGTTTACTATAAATATAAATTGGAGCCTTCTGAGCAAAAATTCTCCTTATTAAAGTATTGTAAATATCCGTCCATCCTAAAGTATTGTAAATATAAAGACTAGAAGTCCTTGAGTATATAAACACTTTCTGAATAAATAATAACGACACGCCGGAATAAATAGTAATTATGATACAAACCGCTAATGTTGGGATCCACGGCGAACTATTCTAGTAACACTTATACACAAAATAACTATTGTTATAAATAATTAGAAAAATAATAAACTTCAAATTATTTTTTCATCAAGAAAAAATCTTGAAATTACTGAAAAATTTATAAAATTATGTCCTTTCATCACATCCGTCAATAATAAATTAGCCGGATAAATAAAATGTCAACGAAGAAACGTTCAAAATACTTATTACGTTATATTAAAATAAAAAATATGCCAAGCGTTACCATACAGTTTGTGTTGAAATTAAAAAAGAGTTAAATGATAAATGATATCATAAATTATATGACATATTTATTAAAGATTCAATCTTTGCAAGAGTTTAGCTTTTCATTAAAATGAAAGAGTACATTTTATTTTAGGATTTAGAACGTTTAGCGACAGATCTGTCATTTTCAATTTCGTCGTATTATTTTTGGGTCCACACCAAAGAGAAAAATAATATAACGAGATGTCCACACGGTTGGTAGCTTGAGCTTCGACCAAGGCGACCTTGGTGGTTGGAAACCATATGAACTGCTATTGCAATAACTCAGACATGATCTTCAACGGCCTTAGTCAAAATAAGAATTACGAAATTTGGAGTAGTGCACATTGTCACAAGGGATAACAATGAGGAAGTATTTAAAAATAAAAAGAAAGCACCAAAAAGCACCTCCACTAGATGGCGACTCTAGCAAAAGTAGATGTTTTTATGCTTTCTTTTTTTAAATACTTTCTCATTGTAAAGCTATTCATAAAGAAAATTTTCGAAATAAAATGAATTGAGACTTCCTTTTGTATGTAGTTAAATGCCTTCACAAGTGCATTTAATATAAAATTGATGAAGACATGAAATACGCCTTTTCCAGAATGGCAACATTGCCAGTTGGAAAACGAGTTGCGGCCATGGTTTCCAGTATAATATCCAGTATAATATTGTAATCTTTGATGGTCACCTTGGTCGGAACGCTTGGATCATAAAGTAACTTAGCTCAGATACTGTCAAGCGACATCTCTAGGTGAGTATACAAAGCAATGACATAATAATATGCTTACATAATGCATTTTATAAGTATGCGTATAGATGGCGCAACGATACTTCCTTTCCAACTTCCTTCTAATGTCGCATGGTAATTACGATAAATCTTTATTTCAACATTTCCCGAAACTTGTAGAAATCACAAAATAGATTTTTTTTTAATTGCTTATACATGTTCGAACATAACATGATTAATGAAATCTGTAAGGCAGATTTGTATGTATTTCATGTAATAAAAAAATTCAAAAGTAGTTATTGCATAATTTTAGTGCTTTGTCATTGTCAGCATAATATAAAGGTAAACTTCTTGCAGAGATGGATATATGTCAATTTAAAAATGTAAGAAATTTAGATTATATAATCTATAGGTACCCATATAATTCAAGTTAAAAAAATATCAATGCCTCTTGTGGTCTTGATTTTTTACGTAAACTATCTATAATATATATTTTTATAACGCTAGGAAAGAAATACATACATATTAAATCATTATAAACTTATTGAATCACAAACAGTTTATTTTTATTTTAAAAACTAAATACGGCTTAGCAAATCTACTGATACTATATTTAAAATATAATAGATACCTTTATGAAGATAAACAAAATCCATAATAATAATAATGCCTCATACATAACTAGTACGATTTTAAAATTAAAGACTGTTAGTGTGTGAGTGTATACCGATGTTTGGCATCGAGCACATTACATGTTTGACCCATGTGTGCAGAAGTAGACATAGTATGGATAAGAATTAGTTTAAAGTTAATATGATAAAAATAAAATTCATTTACTCTTTAACAATTGTCTATGTGGTAAATATGTAATATTACGGATCAAGTGAAATTTGAGATAATATAGAAAATACCTGAGCAATTTGAAATACACCAAATTGATATAATATAGACATTATGATGATGCTTAAATATAAAAATAATCAATTTAACTGACCATTATTTTATGAACAATTGTTGTCACCTATATGTTAAGAGCGCGCTTTCAGATAAAGGAGTCGTCCCATTCTTCATATATAGTCCACCACAATAAAATTTGTATCTCTCTATTCTGTGATCACAATGAAAATCGGATATCTATAGTTGACGATGTTCTCTCAATATTTCATCCCATAATATGAATAGATACATTTGTTGATGTAACTAGTCACGTTTTAAATTAAAAGCAATTTTATGTCGTATATATTTGTGTTTTCTTCATACAGTGAGGAAGTATTAAAAAAATATTAGTTCCCGAAATCAAACTAGATGTCGCCATGGTACTTTCTTAATTTCTCCATGACAGTCTTTCAGGTTTTCTTTCATGCATAAAAGTAAATTAATTTTCAAAACTCAATGAACAACTCATATTCTATTTGTACTTTTTAGTATTTGTATTGATATCCAAGTTTCCAACGTTGCAAATTACAGTTTTTAATAAGTACGTTAGTTAAAAAGAACGGAAATGACAATCTATCCTTTCGTTTCCTGCAAAAATCAACTTTTGGTAGAATCGCCATCTAGCTAGGTGGTCTTTAGAGCTTTCTTTTTGTTTGTCTTAAAATACTTCCTCATTCGATGTATTGAAATCTACCATGTATTTAACTAAACGAATAAATATACGCTTTATCATAGGAATCGACCATTGCTATTTATTGGCTGTTCTTTCAACTGCAAATACCGAAACCGATGATTTTTATTGGAGTATTTTCTCTGCTAATTATCATATTGTTATTTTGGATAAGTTAAGTACAGTTAATAGCCCGTCATGTTTGTAAATATATTATAATTTTAAGCCTTATATGTTGACAACTAAATTTAAAATCAATTGCAGAAAAAAATTGAATATTTTTATTGTAAATTATCAAAGATGGCCTTATCCATATTACTGCGCTCCGTCGGGTATTGTACTTGATTGTGGCGCTGGCGTCGGCGGACGGAATGTAAACTAAGTTGTGTAAGGTTGTCACATCGTCGATGATTATTATTATTATAATTCAATAGTTTGATTTTTATTCTCCGTATGTGTTTTTAAGCATAGGAAATTTAGTATGCACCGTAATTGTGGAAGAATTAAAAAACATACCGAAGATGGTAATAACTTTACTAAATATTTAAATGAATAAAACGTGGGTACAGATTACAAAATCCTTTCCCTAGTACAATGCTTTATTGATGCCATATTTAATATTATGCTGTATTTCCAGATTCTAAAAGCATAATTACTAAAAATACAGTCGTTTCTGTAATCATATATCAAAATCGGTTACAGTAAAATTACAGGAAAACTAAATTTAAATAATAAATAAAGAAATATGTTTGTTTATTTATTTTTGATGGTGTTTATATCAGACAATTTTCAATTTTCTCCGTTCTGTTTTTATATTATTAATTAACTGAATTTGAACACTGAACGAAAGTCTTGTATGCACTTGAAGCTGTTTATCTTGAAATTCTGCAATATATGTGTTGTAAATTGTTGCCTGTTTTTATTTTTTATCCTTGACTGACCAAAAACATCACGAACATAACTATATATTTTCTTCAGGTTTAAAGTGAACTGTAGTTAAAGTAATAATAAAAAAATAGTTCTACGTTTACGTCACCCAAAACACTGCAAACATTATATAAACGTAATGAATTAGACGAAAAATACAATATTCTATTGTCCGGTAGAAACTGCGAAATTCGCTACTTGTAGTCAAATACGGTGCGCTCCACCTCACCAGATCACAGAAGGTGCCCTCAAAATCGGGGAATATCCTGCACACAAAAGCTCAATGACAATGTTCTTATAGTATAGGAATAGGTATTCTGCAATATATGTGTTGTAAGATTAGCGACGTTTTGTGATTTATATTTGATGAATTTATGTTATTTCAAATTCATACATACAGCATATTCATACACTATTCATTACATACTCATTAAAGTATACAGTAGAAATGTCAAAAATACAGTGAATCTGTAAGTACTGATACTAAGTAAAGTGGACTTATATATAATTGGAATCTCGGAAACGGCTCCAACTATTTCATGAAAATTCGAATGCAGGGAGTTTCGAGGGAGAACAAAACGATCTAGCCACATTTCATTTAAAAAAAACGTCTTTTAAGACCAAAAAAGAACGAGCAAAGCTCGGTCATCCGGGTACTATTATTTATTTTCGATATATTAGTGATGTCATAGCGATATTTAATTATACTATTTCAACTTCAGTAACTTTAAAATGTATTTTTTTTTATATCACGATCTGGTAACCATAAATACTTGTATGCTAAATAAAATATGCTAAATGTGTTTAACATATGTTAGTCTTCCCTACGTTTTTACGATAATAAAAATACCTTTGTATTTAAATATATAGTATATATATTTTTATATGATTTGTATAATATTTTAAGCTCTATACATATTAATTTTGTTTTGTATTAAATACCTATGTTACCTTACATACAATGCTTGTCACTAGCAGCATTCACTTTATTGGTTCTCAATATTTCTCATATAAATTTATTTGTATATTTATAGATAGATCAAGCACATTTTTAAGATTTCGGAACTAAAACAAAATATCATCATAGTTAAAAATAGATCCGGATCAGTGACAGCCCTGGCTTATCAATACTCTCTACTACACTAACTGGCAACGTACACACTCACGCACACATACAGAGCTAACGAATTAGGGTCGAATGTACTGGTAGCAGTGTCATAAAGGTGTAAGTGTTAATTTCGCTTTTCTTTAAATCACAAATAATAAAAAAGTACTCTTTAATATATTAAACAATCATGTAATGCATTTTCACAAATATAACCGCCGTATTTTATGACAATGATTATTTCTTTACCTTACACTTCGCAAATTTTTCTCTAATTTTATTCAGAAGCTAAAATCTTGTAAATAATCATTACATAATTATATAATAAAGATTTTGTATATTCAGTATCAAATAAGCCGGGCTTTATCCAAATATTGAATCATCAAAACTAAGGATACACCGCAAGACAAATAATGCATAGTCTCTGTACACTCAACAGCAATTCAACTTACACAAAAATGACAACATTTCTAATCACCTTTAATATCTTAATGATTTGAAAATAGAGTTTTGATTTGGCT